GGGACGTGTCGCGCTGGCTGTATCACTGGTGTGAAATCTTCGCGCAAGATCATCCTGTATGGGCGGGCTACACAGCCGGTACCTTAGAAAAGCTGCGGGAATTCTTGGAGCACTTTGTCAGAGCTTTGGGCATCCACTGTGTCGATTGAATGCACCAACAATCCCAGTGCCTCCGTTGCGTGTAGTCCAAGTATCGCTTGTTTGCTCTTCATCACTATGAAAAAGGTAAAGGTACCAGACTAGTCATTCATGGCCACTGGCAGGGTGGCCACACCGAAGTGTTTAATGGCGTCGCTACTGTATGACCGAAGGACGGAGCTGCTGGGCTTCAGGTCACCATGCGCTTGGAATTTGAAAAAGACAGAATACAGCAGCAAGTTGGCCTGGGATCCAGTGTCTACTTTCAAAACAACCTGCTGGTTGGCTACTTTGGCTACGACCATCCAGTCAGCTGTCCTTTCCACGGCGCACGCTCTGACATTGAAGATGTCGAAGTCGTTCTCGTCGTGTACTATGGCACCGACGGCAGGCTCTCTCCGGCTGCATGCCACGAAGTGATTGGCCCTCTTGCACGCGAAACATGTCGTCCCAAACACCGGGCATTTGTTACAATCATGCGTTCGATTGCATCTACCGCATGTGAACCGTTGACGCTGTTTCACGGCCGCTACGTGCTTATCTGCTTACCCCAAGTCTCATTTTGGTGATCTGACACTTCGGTCGCTTTGTGTACCTGTTCTGCCTTGAGCAGCGTGAGGTCTTTAACTTTGAGCATCTTTTAGCGTAACTTTGGACTATTCGTGCCAAATACAATTTGGTCACAAATCATAGAGTCACTAAATGTTGAGAAGTTGCAAGTCTGAACTAGCTTCCTCAGGTCGCGCAGTAATTGTTCAAAAGGTTCGCCTTCGGCTTGACTCCTTGAACGAAATGCATACCTCTCGTGGACTTCATTTTGTTGCTCCTGACAGTATGCTTCAAACTTGCACACAACTGTTGCGTAGTCATCCTTGTATTCTTCCGCAGTAAAAGTGAAGTTGTTAAATACCTCCAGCGCATCATCTCCAGCAACACTCAGCAGCAGCGCCGTCTTAGCAGCCTCCGTCCGTGGTTCTTTGGTTGACGCTGTTGCTTTCAGGAAGAGCTCGAACTTCTCCTTAAACAACGCCCATTTCTTTGCGATGTTCCCGGACAGAAGCAGCTGATCGGGTGGCTTGAGGAGTTCAATTTTCCTAGCTTACTGGCGTAACGCCTCTTCGTTTCTTCAAGCCATTTCGCGGTAGGCCAACGATCGGCCCACTTCTGACACCATGTATCAGTCAGTTAAAGCAGGAACAGAAAGAACGTTTATTGATAGCTGCTGTTAGGTTTTATAGAGGCTGGCGCTGACGTCAGCAGTTGGTGGGAGACGGCACTACTACGCACATCGCATGCCTATCTTGCACGATACAGGATTGCACAGTCTCGGGTGGATTTTTTTGCAACAACCTCGTAGCGTAGTTTTTTGGCCACTCAGACGGTGAAGCAGGTGAAATTCCTATGAGTTTTGTCGCGTTCACTCCCTTCGAAGCACAGTGTAAACGGGCCTTCCTCTCACAGACAAGTTGTGTTGCACCATTCGCGTTAAGCGGTCAATTGCGTGTTCGTATCATCAGCTGTGGCTGGGGAACCAGTTCGTATAACCCCAAATCATGGCATACTTTGTATATAGTTCATCCAAAGGAACTTTAAAATTAATATAGTAGCAAAATTCATATCCAACGTAATCGTATCATCGAGATTATACTGTATAGCATCACTCTACTGCAGTGAAACCACGTTTACAAGAGGTTGCATGGAATGTTTAATATCTGGTCGTTTATTTCTAAAACTTTAAAATTTAGAATTAAATTTGGAAGAAAATTATAATATTGCAAATTCATTCAAATATTCGAAGTGCTATTCCACTAAGCTGCACAGCACTCTAACCTGTTATGCAGTAGTTTGTGAGAAAGTGCGTGCTGTTGTGCATAATGTGGCCAGGCTTTGTTTACAAAAAGCTTGCTGAAGCTTGTAATAATAATTGTTGAGTTTGAACACCCCAAAACCACCATATAACCACCATAATTACCAAAACCACCATAAAGGACCCTGTACTGGAGGGCTCCAGAAATTTCGACTACCTGGGGTTGTTCAATGTGCACCTAAGCCTACAGGCCTCAAGAATTTTTGTCTCCATCAACCACCGCAGCCTGGATTCGATCTCGCGATCTGCAGGTCAGTAGCCGTGTGCCTTAATCACTAGACCACCGTGGCGGGCTACTGAAGCACGAGGAAACCCAGTTTAAGTTGGTGCTCATATGAACGTCTCCTGCCTTCATCTAACTCTCGGTGCATTTCTTTGAGTATGAACCACAAAGTAAAATAAAGAAGGAGCACCAACTTCGCTGGTCTGGAAGAGACACATTTTGCAACACCGCTTCATGCTTCACGGTTCGTTTTCCATATGGCATTACAAATGAAGAAAAGCGGTGGAGGAAAGGTGCTTTTCTCAAAAAGAGCAGCGGGCGTGGGCTCTGCCTGTCGTTGCTATAGCAAAGGCATAGACAAGCACTCGGCTGCATTGATTGCTCTGCTCGCCTATCCATTTTATTGTCTGCTTCACACATGCTGTACGTCTGCTACCAATTCTTTTCTGTAGCAAGCGTAACTACTGCAGTTTGCGGATTGACATTATGAGAGGGAAAAACCAAATATATACTTTACTACATTTATTCGAAACAGGCAAAACTCCTGAAAAGCCCTGACATCTGTAACTTGGGCCCCACAAATGTATATTACAACATACACAAACATAACATATACCTAAACTTAAGCAGATGAGGTAAAATTATAAAAACATGGTACGTAAAGCAACGTAAAAAAATTTTAAGTGCATTGACAAACAAAGTAGCATGGCAAGAGACACTAGGGAAGGGGATCTTAATGTATTACAAGAAAAAGAAGCTTGTAATGAAGAGGTGGTGTTTTTCACTTCTTTCTTTAGTGTTCATCAAGTGCGTACATGCCTCGCTTGCTTCTTCTTTTTTTTTTTCATGCTTTCCAAGCCGCTCGGTTTCCTTGCGAGCAAAATTTCCGCATTCTTGCGAGAATGTAGTATTGCAGAATTCCTGTTAGAATTTCTTCCTTGTGAGCTTCACAAGACTGTGTGTCCCCAGCACATGGTCAGTCGTTACCTCATAAACATTAGTCAACTTTGCATTACAATAAATGTAGTTCTCTGTCAATGCAACAGTCAGTATTGATGCATGTTTGCATATATTAATTGGCCACGTGTTTTGGTGGCAGTGAGACTGGAAATGTCTTTTTCAACAGGCTGCAAAGTTGAACCAAGTGCACCCCTGCATGTCTCACAGACAGACTTTGGGCGAAGTTTTCGCGCGGCATATCCAGCGATGAAGTAAATCTACTTTTTCCATAGACTACTGTTTTCCATAATCGACTGCATAATCATGCAGTCGATTATGGTGGGATCGTCCTCTGCCTGGGGTAAAATATCTTCAGATTCCCAAAAGGAACGAAGCGTGTGTTGGAGGGTTAGTTGGTTGCGTATCTTTAAACCTGTGTGTGCTAGGGACGAGACACATCTAATATGAGATGCTTCTTGAGCACATATTAATTGTCCTTGGATTTTAGAGGCCGCTTATTCACAGTTACTTTTTGATGCCACTGATCCAGTACCTGCGGATGGGGGCAGCAAAGAGCGGAATCTTCTCTGCCCCTTGACATAACCTGATTTGCAGCTGGCAACAAAACACTTTATTGTGCCCTGTTTATTTGCCCCACATATTCACACACAAGTACCAAAATACCTTGTCCCTTATAGAATAAATAAGCACACTGGAGACATCTTAGACAAAGGTTATAACATAAAAATGTCCGACAAACACTGCTGCACAAGCGTCCAGGCGTGGAAAACAAGTGTACATCTGCTTTTACGTTCTTTTTTAGCATAATATTTGAGCTGCTTTCACTAAAGATGTGCAACAGTGTTTCGCATATGTGTAAAAGAAAAGCAGTACTATGTTTTTATTTTATGTTTCATTATTAGTATGAACATGTACATTTCGTTTGGTTGTCATACTTAAGCAGTCAAGCAAAGGATTTTCTACAAGACGACACGCTTCGTGTGCAGTGCCTGCCGTGCCTGCGGTGCCTTCCGCCACCGCAGGTTTCCGCCAGTTCACGCATGTACTCATGAGCACAGGTGTTGAATGGTTTTTATGTGCCTCCACAGGTGGTGCTACGCATTGTGATATGCGCCAAGAGAGAAGAAAGCGTGTGTGAAAGCAGGAAAAGGAGCGGAGGAAGAGAGCAAAGGAATGGTTTAGACCACCGTGTACACGTTGCACGGTTTGTCCCACATGAAAGCGTGGGGCAGCGGCCGAGCCGGCGCTTCTCTCTTGTCTTACTCCGTGGTGTGAACCAACTCACTCATGTCTATGTATTATTGGTAAATTACTAAATTACTTAAATGCATTACCAGTAATGATGCTACTTGTAATGCCAACTCTGCTTTCAATACAGCACAGCACTTATATTCAATGCCCACTCAGCTACAGGCTGCCACATTTGTTTTTATTGCATAGCACTTCATCTCATGGTGAGAATTTACATAGTTATTCACCCGCCTTTATCGCTAAAAATTCTCAATTAGATGCCAGCACAGCTGCAGACAGTGGGATGAAAACAAAGCAATGATGTGACGTGAAGTGGTGTACTGCCCGAGCTGGAAAAGATTTATGGCGAGACCTTGCACATGAAAAAAAAAAAGGACACAGGGAAGAAGACATGGGGCAGTGCAGACCACACGAGAGACAAGAGACGAGACAGCGCCTTTCCCGTGTCCTCTTCACTGCTTTACATCAGCTAAATCTTGTTGCTAATGACATGACAATTTCTTTCTGGCTATGGGTTCTGCCTTTTGATGCTGTGATGATGACTGAAGGGGAAATACTCACATTCCAAACACAGTGCCTCCTAAATGGGCCGCATGGTCCAATAAGTGCCACCGAAACAGCATGCCAGCCGTGTCAAATGCCAACAAACCTTTCAATGCCTGCACAACACAGGCACCAACGAAGACATTGTGAAGTGAATAAATGGTACACTATGGCACAGCAGCTACTAATAACATGCTTCAGGTGCAAGGACAGCAGCATTGTGTGTGCAGCAGAGGCACGAGCTAGCGGACAAGGGCTTAGAACTGTGAGCAATCAGCCAACAGCTCCTGTGCAATAAATCACCTTTAAGTTTGATGGAGGTTTTTGGTAAACATATTTTAGCGTGATCTTGTTTAATCTCCAAACATCGACACAGAACCGGATTGGACCCATCTTTCTTTGTAACGAGTACCACTGAAAAAACCCATGGGCTCTGCAAAGGTCGGATGACAACTCAGCGGAACATGTTCTCGACATGCTCTGCAACAACCTGACATTCTGTAGAGGACACGCGATATGGCCAGTGCCGCAGCGGTGTGTGGGAACCAGTGTCGATGTGGTGTTGAACTGTGCATGCATGGCCTGGTGATACTTCTGCAACATCGAAAGAAGGGCGGAAGTGCTGAAGCTTGGTAAGGAGCTGTGATCACTGTGAAGGCGTCGAATCTTTGGCGAGTAGTGGGCTGAATACATCGTTAGACGCTGCATCAGGCACGGAGAGGACACCCAGTTCATACACGACTGTTGAGGATACCTTATCGAGGATAGAAACGATTCGTGCAGAGTTGATCATCTTGACATTACCAAGGCACTCGCAATAAAGCAATGATAGCGGTGTCAAAAGAAGGTTGTGAATGGGCCTTGCATCAATACTTCCGACGAAATCAAGAGCAGCAAAAGGCAATGAAAGGGCTGTTTGTGTAACAAAGTTTTGAGGCGGCATGAAGAAGACCGTTCTGTCAGATATGGCAAGGCATGGCACTTGTACTAAAGAGTTCGACGGGATATATGTGTCTCCCTCCACAATAAGCTTAGCGGCAGATTTATTGTCGATGGAGGTCAAATTGGTGAGACAGGAAAATTCAACCTCCGCTCGAGCACAGCCAAATAAGGCGTTGTGGCACAAGAAAAAGTCTCATTTTAAGATGATGTCGTGGGAGCATGATGAAAGCACAATACATTCTATCGTGTACACAATGTCTTGAATGGTCACACGTGCTGTACACGCTGGAGTCGGTGGGCTGAGCACTTGCTGTTCGAAGAGAGAATCCAAAAAGAGGCATTGTGACTTAACGAAGTGAGCAACAAAATTCACCATCGATTACAGGTATAGCGGCACCTGTATCGACAAGAGCTACTGTTGCGACATTTTCGACTAAGACGACAATGACACTGCTAGGAGAAGAACGAAGAATTGGGCAAACCGAAAACTGCCAGTTCTTGTCTCGGGAACTGCGACGTCTATTTTTTCTCGCCAGTAGGTGGTCGTTGACGCATCGGTGACGACGATCGCCGATGAGGGGATGGCAAGCAGAGATGTTCAAATCGAGGGCGGCAAGCAGCGTAGCAGCGAGGTTCCAGAGCAACGGAGGGAGAGTGAGGTGCATGGGAATTAAGTGAGATGTAAGGCACTCTCGTTGGCTGTCATCGAAGGTCTGAACCTGGCAGCAGCAGTGCCTGGCGACATGTCCGGGGTACCTACTGGCGAAGCATATGGGGCAGTTGTCGAGCATTCGCCATGGGTTTACAGGGGCAGTGTTGGACCAGAATATAGGAGGAGGAGTACGGCTCACAGGGCACTGAATAGGGGGCACTCGCCCTCTGCGAGTGGGCATGGAAGCTACCCCAGCATATGTAAGTGGGGCAGCCACAAGATATTGCTCGCGGGCAGCTGGCAGCACCTCAGCGACCTCTCCTTGGATGAGGTCAAGAATGAAGGACAAATGTTTAGGTATACCTCTTGAGTGAAGGGCACCGATGAGAGCTGTCTCAACTTCTTTGCAAACGAAGGCCTTGATTTTTGTTAAAAGTGGCCCACGTATAGGCTGATGATGAGACCCAAAAGTTGTGCCCCATTGGGTGGTGGAACACTCCTTGTCAGAGCTCGCAGCTCGCACAATTCCTCATATCTCTCGCACAAAACAATAACATCAGCGATTGTGCTAGGGTTCTTTGCCAGCAACATCTGAAATCTGTCATCATCAATTCGTTTCATCATGAGCTTTATTTGTCGTTTTCCGCCATGTCAGCGCTTCTTCACAGATCAACAACGTCTTCAATGTAACTGGTGAACGTCTCAACTGTGTCCTGTGCACGCGAGTGAAAACGCTGTTCGGCGCGAAGTTTCCTAACGGCAGGTCGATCAAATACTGCTGTGATTGCAGTCTCGAAGAGTGACCACGTTCGGACGTCACCCTCATGGTTCCTGAACCACAGATAGGCCACACCCGCGAGATAAAAAGATACACACGTTAACTTCTCTGCGTCGTCTCACTTGTTCAGAACGCTCTCCCAATTGTAAGTCAACAGCCAGGCCTCAATGTTATTGTTGTTGGTTCCTCTGAAGATTGGAGGCTCTCGCAAGAGAGCACTTCCAGCGCAGGTGAGAGATGGGGAAGGAAGCGTCTGCTGGTCCGGGTCCAGCATGGCAGACTGGAAGTTTCCGAGAACGAAGCTCAGGATGGCACAGGGAAACGGTACCCAGCACGGCCCTACCAAATATAAATATGATTTATTGCACTGAAGCTGTTGGCTGATCGGGCACAACTCTGAACCCTGTCTGCTAGCTCGTGCCTCTGCTGCACACACAATACTACTGTCCTTGCGTCGATCTACTTCCTCTTCATTACGATAGTTTTAAAAGGAATATTTCAGGCTAATTGGCTTAGATATATGAAAGAAAGTCACAGGGAAAAACATAAATAACATTTCGAGCTTTCAGGTGAGGACCGGCCTTTAATCTTAAAGGCCGGTCAAAAGTTCAGAATAAATGCTTTTATGTTTTCACTGTGACTTTCCTTCTTTCTTTCGCATAGACACACACATGTGTGTGTGTGTGTATATATATATATATATATAACGAAGATGGATAAAACATTTCAATGAGAAAGTTGTAAATCAGTTTGCGAAACATCCGATTAGACAGTTTCAAACTTTATATCTGTTAATTATTAGTGTTTTTCTGCTAACTACAAATGCCCGCGAATACAAAAATACTACGAGACAAATCCACTGGAACGCCTGCGCGCACCGTTATTCCAGTGCTCTCTAACGTTCCACATACGAATGATAAGCTTGCCTCACACCGGTTCATGACAGCGATAAGCAAACACGACGGTTATCGTTTTAGTGGCCGATAGCAATACGTGTTCCTCGCAAAGCCACTACCATTGTTGCAGCCCCTTCGAGACGGCACAATCGGGCAAATCCTACGATCATTCGTACGGGGAACGTTAGACAGCACTAGAATCGTCGTGCGCACTGGTGCGCGAGCGGGCTTGTCACGTGGTATTTTTTAGGGGCGAAGCTTCTTCTGGCGTGGCTTGTGCGTACCTTGTTGTCGTAGTGCTGTAGTGCGTAACATACCCACATACTAATGGCACATACCGCCCTCGGGCACATATCTGCATGTCCACATGTTACGCTGTTAACAAAGTGCTGACCGCAGAAATGAGGTACATACTCTGCTTTAGTTCTTGAATTGTCCGCTCGATGGCGGTACTTGTATATGATGAATATATTGTTACGATGAAAGATGTTTATTTGAAAATGGGCTGATGAAACGGGGCTGAATGGCTGCCACTTGGCGCTGATCTACTCGCAAGACATGCGCTCTTTGCCTTGCTCTTCTCTTTGTCTTGCTCTTCTCTTTGTCCTCCCTGTCACCTTAGCGTAGCACTTCTCTCCCCACAGATGAAGCCCATCGAGTGAGTAACGGCTACGTGAACGTGGAGTTGCACAGGTGACAGCGCTTTAGGCACCTGACGTGAACAAGTTGCGTCGGCCGAGAACGGTAGCCGTGACTGAGGAGACGAGCCATCGAGTATGTCAGGTCACCGAGGCGATCGACGATGACGAAGAGGCAGGTGTAACGGGCTAGAAACTTTTGACACAGGCCACGCTTGCGAAGCGGCATTTGAAGCCAAACTATGTCGCCCTTGTCGTAAGAGACATCTTTGTGCCACGAATCGTAGGTGATCTTGGAACGGTCCTGGGATGCCAACGTACGAAGTCGAGCTACACGCAATACTTCCTCTGCACGGCAAAGGGTCTGAGCAATAGAAATGTCCACATGAGTATGAAATGGCAGAATGGTGTCAAGGAAGAATCGGGGCGGTCGAACGTAAAGGAGGTAGAAGAGGCTGTAGCCAGTGGCTTGATGCCTCACTGAGTTGTAGGCGTATGTAATAAATGGGAGGATGTCATTCCAAGCCATCGAGTATGTCAGGTCACCGAGGCGATCGACGATGACGAAGAGGCAGGTGTAACGGGCTAGAAACTTTTGACACAGGCCAAGCTTGCGAAGCGGCATTTGAAGCCAAACTATGTCGCCCTTGTCGTAAGAGACATCTTTGTGCCACGAATCGTAGGTGATCTTGGAACGGTCCTGGGATGCCAACGTACAAAGTCGAGCTACACGCAATACTTCCTCTGCACGGCAAAGGGTCTGAGCAATAGAAATGTCCACATGAGTATGAAATGGCAGAATGGTGTCAAGGAAGAATCGGGGCGGTCGAACGTAAAGGAGGTAGAAGAGGCTGTAGCCAGTGGCTTGGTGCCTCACTGAGTTGTAGGCGTATGTAATAAATAGGAGGATGTCATTCCAATCCTTGTGCCTGAATTGACGTACATAGAAACCATATTGGTGAGCGTTCTGTTCGTGCGCTCCACGAGACCATTTGTCTGTGAAAGATTAGGGGTCGCGTGGCGAAATCGACTATCACAAAGACGCAAGAGCTCTTCGACCACGTAGGCAACGAACTGGCATCCATGATCATTTGCAGTAATGCGAGGTGGTCCATGGTTAAGTATGACTGTCAACAGGAGGAAGCTTGAAATATCGATTGCCGTGGCTGTTGGCATTGCGGCCATCTCCGCATAACGCCTCAGGTGATCA